CTTTCCCTCCTCTCATTTTGTGTCTGTTAGGATATTTTGCTGCTGCCTCTGCCCTCACTGAAATACTCCCCCCTCCCCGTCTTCGCTTCCAAACCGTTTGTGAATGACTGCTGACTTGCTGCCAGTCATACGTTTGCAAGTAATATCAGGCACAGTATTTGCCAGACTTTGCCATGCAAACTGCAGTGCAGAGTGTGTGTGTGTGTGTGCGTGCGCGCGCAGGGCAGGCGGGCGGGCGGAGGGGAACAAACTTTAAAAGTGCATTTAGCAGCTATTCCTTTCCCCACCTCATTTTTATGGTGGAGTAGGTACAGAGCCCCCCCCTCCCCCCGCAAATTTGGATCAGGACTCTAGGAAGGGAGGGGAAGGGAAGGGTCATTACATTCTGGATTGAACACCCTGAATGTATTCTAGAGTAGCAGTGAAAGGAATGCATCATTTCTGTATAGCCTGAAGTGCCCGATCCATCCTAATTTTGAAAGCTAAGAAGGGTCAGGCCCAGTTGAAATCTGGATGGCTGACTTAAAATGTTGTGAATCATCCAGAGAGCTTTGGCTGTGGTGATATAGAAATGTACTACTACTACTACTACTAATAATAATAATAGCTGCTGGGGAAACATTTAAAATGTTTATTTTAGCCTTAAGTTTCTCTCTGTGTGTACGCACATGCGCTTGCAGTTCTGCTTGTTTTAATATGGGATGTTTGATCTGATGAGAATAATCATTGTTAAAGGAATTGTTACCCTGGGATTCCATTCTCTTTCTGGAAGGAAAAATTAACTTGCGTTTAGAGAATGGGTATAAGGGTGAAGAAACAAATTTGCTATGCAATGCTACGCATATCTATTCAGAAGTTTGACCTACTGTGCTCAATGCTGAGGTTGTGTGCAAAGCATCATGCCTGAATTGTACAACGGGCACCAGAAAAAGCAGGGGCCAGCTCATGCAAGTCTGAAAAGTGAAGTACAATTTATGGATAAGGTACAACTAGTTAGATGGGAACTGAGTTGCCATACTGTTGCTGAAAGGCCAGACTTTCCCTCTCTTGTTTTCTTTAATCCATTTCTTGTAATTTTGAATTCCTAGTTAATTTGGTAAAAAATGAAAACTGATAGTGTTAATCTATTTGTATGTGCTTTCAGTGTAATTGCTTATGTCTGAAAATCATAAATAAATGAAGGAGGGAATACTGGCTGCATTTCAGCATGTGTTGAAGGGATCTGTGTAATGCTGAAGGGCTAGATCAATTAAACAAGACTGGTAATGCAGTCTAAATCTCATAATGCTAACAAGGAGCCCAGTAGCTTGCATGGTAAGGTGTCTAGGGATCCTTTTTTGCAGAGGACAGTCCTGGATTTGAAGAGCAGCCACAGGATAGTCCTCTGCTTGAAGATTTCCTCTCTTCGAGGGGCTGTCCTGTCTGATTCCAGTCTGAAGATAAACCATCAGAAGAACACTGCCTGGCAACAGTTCACACCTAGATGACAACTGGACAGGGAGGTCACCTAGTCAGTCTTCTGTATTTTGGTGACATTTAGGGTGCAACCCTTTCACTCCTCAGCAGAGCCCAGAAAACTTACAACCCTCCAAGTGGAAGGTGTGAAGAGGAGGAGCAGCGATCCCTGCCGTTCCTCACACTCTGCCTAGCAAAAGACTGCCGTGGCAGCAGTGGATCTAAGAGCACCACCAGCTCTTTCAAAGGGGGTGTAGCCCCATCTAGAACAGGAAAATGAGCCTGTCTCCCAGCCATAGGACCATTCACCCACAGGCCTCCCCTCTCACCAGGATCCAGCTTCAGTTTGTGCGCCCTCATCCAGCCCAGCTTTGAGTCCAGACACTGATCTAACGCCTACACAGCCTCTCCTGACTCAGCTGCCACAGAGAAACAGAGCTGTGTGTATTCACCAGACTGATGGCACTTGGCTCCAAATCCCCCCGTGACTGCTCCTGGTGGTCTCATATAGATCATGGGTCCTCAAACTACTGCCTGAGGGCCGGATCCGGCCTGCCATGCCCATTTGGACCCGCTGCGTGCACGCCCGCACCCACCACCGCCCACCTCGCCCCGTGCGTGGGGAGGCTGCGGTTTGCTCACTTGGAGAAAACCATCTCCGACTGAGCAAGCCACTGCTTGTGTGCACACCTTGCGGCGGGGGCCCGGCCCCGCCTCGCCTCCCCTCGCCATGCGCGCACCCACTTGCACCTTGCCTCCCCTCCCCTCGCCGCGCACCCGGCCCCTGCCTCAGTGTGCACCCTCCCCTACCCCTCGCCGGCCCGCGCACACTGCCGGCACCACCTTTCCGGCCCGCGCCCAGAGCAGGCACCTTTCAGCTGGTCCCCTGGTGGAAGGGTTCGAGGACCCGATATAGATGTTGAACAACAGTGGGGACAAAACGGTACCCTACAGAACCCAGAGCTCGATTGCCAAGGGGTCCAGGAACAGTCACCCACATTTCTGAAATAACCCTGCAGGTAGGAGCAGAGCCACTCTCACAGGATACTTCCAATGCCCAATCCAGAGTCAATCTAGAGGGATATCATGGTCAATGGCATCAAAAGCTGTAGAATGGACAGGGTCGTACTTCTGTCCCTTTCACACTCTTGGTCATCCATCTGAGTGACCAAGACTGATTTGGTCTGAGAACCAGGATGAACCCCAGACTGGCTTTCCTATGCTCAGAATAACCAATGAATGCAGGGAGATTAGGGTGCAACCTACTAGAATCTTCCCCTCCTCTGCATGTTCACTGTACTCTATGTAGGACCTGGGTAGTGAGAAAATTTTGCTTAGAACTTGCTGGTTCATGGTTGCACTGGGATTGAATTTAGCAACTCAGGCTGCAAACCTGCTCACTTATCACTGAGTGAGAATAATCCACACTGAACACAGTGGGATCTGTTTTGAATAAAACATCCTCTTTTCTAGAGCATAAGAAGCTCTACTCACTTTACAATCTGGCTGAACTCATGAAACATGTATCATTTTTCTTTTGTTTTGCTTTAAATAGAAATACACACTCCGCGTGCGTGCGTGCATGTGTGTGTGTAGCAGAACATGTGATATATTTTTTAAACTTTACAGATTGGCAAATTTCAGCCCATGTGAATTTGGATCCTGAAGGATTTAGAGCAGTAATTCCCAAAATACCACTGGCATCACCACTGGTCTGGGAGCACGGGAAAGATCTGTGTGTGGGGGGATGATCCCCAATCTTGTACCTTCCAGACATGTTTCGACTGCAACACCCATAATTCCCAGTTAATGCCCCTGCTGGATGGAAATTCTGGGAGTTTTGGTCCAAATGCCTCTGATGGCCACCAGGTTGGGGAAAACTGTAGTAGAGCAATAGACCTAATTCAAGGAAAGAGGCATGAAGGTGCTACAGTTGTCACCCAAGAGGAAAGGGGGCAGCAGCCTGAAAAAGTTTGGAAACCACTGTTTTAGAGTAACTGTTGCCTCTGCTGAATTAATTGGTTAGGGCCAATACCCACCCCTATCTTTCAGCTTTTTTTTCTTTATCAGCTGCTAGCAGGCAGGCCAAAGAATGGTTTGTCCCCACCCAAACCCCTTTTCTGAATGGCAGTTCACCAATTGTTTATCCCTGTAGAAATGTGAAAATGTAGTTCTGCTTATGAAAACGAGCAAAGGAAAGTATCCACACTGGACTCATCCAGGTCTGCTAACCTCCACATTTTTTGGTGAAGGGTGGAACAGATTTTATCAAGCAATTATATAAAAATCCTTCCCCTCACATCACACGCATATCTAGTTAGTGACAGTTTGTTCAGCTGTAGCCATGCCCTTTAATGCAGAACTCTCTTTCCTTCCCAAGGAAGGGCAGAGGACTGGTTTTGCAATAGCAGCAGCAGCCAACATTTGAAGCTTGAGTCACCAAACTTTCTACAATCAGCTTCTCTACAGAGAAGGGTTATGGTGCACAATGTCTACTTGCTGCTTCATTTGGTGCTCTTGCAGTTGCTGGAGGTCCTGAAAGCAAGTTAGTTTCATTTGTCTGCTTGTCAGTTTATGTTTGGCCTGTGACACACCTCTTTGGTTGGAAAGACAAAGTGTATATTTATCATCCCAAGAAACTACAGCTGACTATTGATATTTTTGATCAGGTCACAAAAGCAATCGAATACCAAATATGAACTAATGTTTTCTAACGACTGGATTTACAATGGTAGGATCAAATACTGTAACATCCCCCTTTACAATAAAAAGTAAAGGAAGGAAAGATACATAAAAGAATAACTTGATAGTTTTCTTTTAAAAACAAACACTCTCCAAGTGGTTTAAGTATAAACAAGTGAAATGGCACACCCTAGGGAACTTTTCCCCTCTCTTCCCTTCTAGGCCTCCTGTGTCTTTAAAAGCTCTGGGACTACGTAAAATTGAGCAAGGAAATTGGTGCTTCCAGTCCCAGCACCTGCATGCTAGGCTAAGTTGCACTGGTTGATTTTCTGCCAATCATGTATTTATTAAAGGCACCGCATGCCTAGCTGCTCACTCCAAAAAGAAAAATGCTGGCAATCGTATGTTGATTTGTTTTTTTTTCTTTTTTCCAACAGAAGTTAGCTATTGCATTTTTCATCTTTTCTGTTCTTGGCTTCAAACCTCCACCCAGTTATCTGAGCAAAGCTTTTGTTCAAATATGCTTGAAATTCATATATGAAGTGTAAAGAGCTATGAGCTTATAGTCCAGTCCTATGGATTGGGCTACAGCTCCCATGGGCCATCTTAGCCCTGAGGGATGATGAGAGAGAAAGTTGAACACCATCTGGAGATTTTCTGCATCTCAGGCTGTTAACACATCAAAAAGGGGGAGGGGCTGCTTTCTGAGTGTGGGAAGTGAGTCAGGTTTTCTCTTGAACTGCTAGTGGGCTCTGCCAGCCAGGTCCGAGATCTTTTCCTGCCTGAGGCAGATCAGTAGGACCCAAGGACAGTCAAGTTATTTTGGCATGTGAGGCAGCAGATCCCACAACTCCCTCTCCCTCTTGTTGACAGTATTACTTTTAATTTCATTTCTACATTGTCGAGCAACTGACGCTTTCTTGGTTCGCATAAATTCATAAGCAAGGTACAATAATAAAAATAGATAGATACAAATACATTAAAAGAATTCTTAAAATTTCCTTCTACGAAATTTAGAACAGTTTAAGTGAATAAAGCAATTTCAATAAAAACTAGACCTGTTAAAACACTTGACATATTCTGTGATTTGCAATTAAATGTATGGGCGTAGAAGGCAATCTTAACTTGGCACTGAAAAGATGGCAGTGTTGGTGCCAGGTGGGCCTCAGTGGAGGCCGATCATGAGCTAACTGGTGGGTGGGGGAAATCTCTGAGAAGGCAGTCCTCCTTCTGCTTGTCCCTAGGAAGTGGCAGTCAGAAGAAAGTCTTGGATGTAGGTGATGGCAAGTTGAGGCTGGGAGAGGAGTTCCATCAGGTATTGCAGTCCAAGTCATGAAGGACTTCACAGATTAAAACCAGCACTTTGAATTGGGCCTGGAAAAAGACAAGTAGTGAGTACAAGTGAACCAAGAGAGAGAGAATTAAATTTTGTTTTGTAAACTTTTTATGATGTTTAAATAAGTTTTAACATTGTGTATTTTTGTTGTATTTTATGTGCTGTTGTGAATCACACAGAGATCTGTTGGGCCACTGGATGATATAGAAATTAAATAAATAAGCCAGACCTGCAAGCTATGAACCTGCTGCTTTAGGGGGCTGAACACCCTCCAGATGTTCAGAAGAACCACCTACCAACAGTATTTCAGTCTTGTTTGGATTGAACTCCAGTTGATTAGCTGACATCCAGTCCATTGTAGCAGCCAGGCACTGGTTTAGCACATCCGCAGCCACATCTGATGAGAAATACAGCGGTATGTCATCAGTGTACTGATGGTGGGACATTTCAGAACTTCAGATGACACCACTCACCAGTTTCATGTAGCTGTAGAACAGCAGAGGAGATAATACTGGTCCCTGAGGAACCCAATACTGGAGTATCCATGGGACTGAGCAGTATTCAACAAGCACCACCCTTTGGAGCCATCCACCCAGGTAGGAATGGAAACCTCTACAATGCAGTAGTCTCCACTCTCATCTCAGACATTTTCCCCAGAAGGATGCCATGGTTGATGGTACTGAAAGCTGTGGAGAGATCCACAATTATCAACTGGGTTGCTCACCCACTATCTCCCTACTGACATAAAAATACAACACAGTAAAACCACTCAAGAGACACCTTTTAGGAGCCCTCATGACTCACATAGATCCCTCTTCCCCCAGCCTTTGCATGGAGAGAACCACATCAGCTGCTTCTCTGAGGACTTAACAGCAACTTTAGAAAGGGCTTTTGGAGACATGCATGAAAGGGAGGGGAAGAGATTAGCAGTGCCAAGACAAGACGTACCTTGGCAGCATCTCAGCCTCCTTCCCTCCTGCTCCTGAGAACCACATGTAGCTGAGATCAGCTGCCTAGGTGCTTTCCAGAGTGAGGAGAGCAGATGCAACTTTTGCCTTTGTGTTCCCCCTGGCCTGCATAGGATTTTGCAGTACTTCAGATTTGGAGGGTTATAAGCATCCCCACTGGATTATACCCAACATGTATAAATCATAGCAGAATTAACTTTGGTGGAATGGCTGTAGAAGGGCGGCTTCTTCTTCCTCTTCCTCCTCCTCTTACTACATATTATGCACTTTTGCTGCTGGATTCTGACAGAAATCTGGTCACATTTTAGTGTGTGAGAATAAACTTTACTTTCAACTCTGATATACTATTTATTGGGGTATAAATATAGACTGCAGGTGGCACAGTGGTTTAAACCGCTGTGCTGCTGTGCTGGTTGACTGAAAGGTCGTCGGTTCAAATTTGCACAACGGAGTGAATTCCCGTTGCTCTGTCCCAGCTCCTGCCAACCTTGCAGTTCGAAAGCATGCAAATGAAAGTAGATAAAAAGGTACCACTTCGGTGGGCAGGTAAGAGCATACCGTGCACTTCGGTGTTTAGTCATGCTGGCTACATGACCACGGAGACTGTCTGTGGACAAACGGTGGCTCCCTCGGCTAGGAAACAGAGATGAGCACTGCCCCCTGGAGTCAGGCATGGCTGGACTTAATGTCAAGGGGAAACCTTTACCTTTTTAAATATCTATATGAATATCTGTTTATAGATATTTGAGAGTGAAACATTTTGGCACAATCCTGTGTCCTCCATGCTTGATACACAAGGGTTGTGTGCACTGAAGGCACAGAGATAATGATCTTCGCTGCTCCACGTGTCACATCCTGCATTTCATTGGATGGCCATTTTCAGCCAGTGTGCTGTAGTGGTTAAGAGTGTGGGACTGGGACTCAGCAGATCTAGGTGCTAGTCCCCACTCAGCCATGGAGCAAACAGGGTGATTTTGGGACAGACACAGACTATCATCCCAACATACCTGACAGGGTTGTTGTTGTGGGGACAAGATTGAGAGCAGGAGGCTGAGAATTGTAAGCCAATTGAGTTCCTTGAAAATAAAAAGGTGGGATATAAATATAATGGGTGGATGGACAGAGCACTGTGCAGTGGGAGAGGAGGAAATGGGATATGCTTGGATATGGCATCAGGGTCAGCCCCAGCTTTCTCCATTTCCTGACTCCTGGCACAATGCTCTTCTCCTCCTGGGCTGATTTCTGACATCAGAGAGGCAGCTGGTATGATTCTTTCCATGTTGGCTTCCGGGAGGTGGGGTGGGGGCAGAATGGGCTTTGCATTCAGAGCCCCAGCCCTGCAGTCACAGGACCTTGGACCTCCGAATAGTCCTACACCCCTACAGTCAATGCTGGGAAGCCATAGGATTTCTTCTTGAGCCAGTTTGCCTTTGACTAATCAACAACACAGGATCCAGGCCCACTTGACCCTGGGAGATCAATCCACTGCCACTTACTGCGTTTTAGTAAGAATGTTTGCACTGGGTTGCTGAATTGCATATTGTAAGAAAAATGGGAATTTTAAGCAGAGAGTGAGACAAGCCAAGGTCATCTAAGTATTCTTGAGCCACATACTGATGTCTTCATTTGTCCCCATCAAATGAATTATGACTGTAAGCACTGAGACGTTGAAACTATAAATAAGTGAAATTGATATGTATTTTTAATAGGGACTCGGTACTTCAGGGGTGGGTAGGAATATAGAATGCAAGAATGAAGTCAGCCTATCTCCTCTGTAGATAGCCACGCTGATGTCTCATAGGCAAGGTTGAAAGTATTTTGGGATGCCTGGAAGATGAGAGAAGTGCCCAAACACTAGCAAGGATCAAATGTGCATCCTTATTTCGATTAAACAAGTAAAGATGAAAATTTCAGCAGTGTTGACTTGCACAGTTATAGCTCTCTTTCTAGGTTACTGAACCAGTGGGCTGGTTCATGCATTCATAATTAACTACCTAATGAATGCCTTAAGTGGTACCTTGCATGTGTGAATGAACTATCACAAATTAAATTCTACAAAAGGAACTTTCATATTTGCCCCCATTTGCTCAAATACAATAATTTTGGTAGATTTGGTTGCCAAAGATATCTGAGAGTTATCAGGTATTGGTGCGATCATTGATAAGGAATAGTGGTTATATCTCCATATGAAGATATAATAGTGGTTATATATATCTCCATATCCTATCTTGACACCCATTCCAAGTAGGTGCATCAGTGTTGCACTTAGGCAGTTTTAGATCCTACATTTATAGGTTTTTATTGGTTGCTGGCATTTTTAGATACACACACACATAGTTCCAATTCAAACTGTGATAAGACACCCTGCTGTTTCTGAGGATTCTCCTGTTCATTCTGTCTTCCTTCATGTGCTAACTCACCTAGCTGCCTTTAAAGATGGGAACAAAAGGGCCTAAGTAATTAATATCATTCAACACTACTTGGAGTTGTAAGGCTACCACCCATTCTAGCACTTTGTCCCAAGTAGGGCAAATTTGATATAGAGTAGTAGTTATCAAAAACCATAGAATCTAAATTTACTTCCTTCAACAAGAGCCTCTCCAATGCTTCATACAAAAACATGGGAACCTCGTCATTCCTAAGAAAGTACTGACCTTAATAAAGGCCCAGGTACCAAGTACATTTCCAGTAGATTTCACAGTCTGGGATAGACATAGACCTAAATAGAAACCCTTTGAACAGTTTGTCCACATTCCCAGGTTGCAGAAGCCAAAAGTTCTCTTATCAGGTGATTAAGCACACTAGCCCCACCCACCTGAGACAGCCAGCACAGTGGCATCCAAGTCAGCATGGATAGCAATGAGTTTCTCTGCAAAACATCTAGCAGGTTGCTCAGGTCAATTACCTAGATTAACTAGGTAGTGAAGCAATCTATCGATGAGCAGTTGTTTGGATCAGGATGAATCACTATTGCATTTGTTGCAAAAGTGGCCAAATCCTTCTTGCTCACTCCTTTTTAATCTACCTATTCATTGCTGGAAGGTCTTTCTTACCAGTCCTAGCAGGCAGTCTTCTGTTTCAGTTCTTCATCATTCTAGGAAACTAGTAGGTGTCTTTCCATACTTGTTACTCCTTTTCTGTAGCTTCTGGCCCTACCAAATATCTTTACTTCTGCCTTGTTTCTTCTCTTCCCTGAGCCTCCAGCATTCAGAGCTTTATTACTTGCATCTGCTCCACCTCTTCCACGGCCTTCAAAAGCTTTGAGCCATTTAAAGAGTCCCTGTCCCAATTCCCTTTTGTTCTTTTCAACTTGCCCTAGGATCTTGTCTCTGGCTAACTGGGGATATCTGGGAGCCCACCCACATCTGGTACTCATGCACTATGTTATGTTATGTGTGGGACACCTTTTCCAGTCTGTGGGCCAATTTCAGGTGCAACCCTGTTGATCTTCTTGGACCTCTCAGAAGCTTTTGATACCATTGACCATGGTATCCCCTTGGAGAGGCTGGGGGTATGAGGCACTGCTTTGTGCTGACTCCACTTCTACCTGACCAAGTGATTCTAGAAGGTGGTGGTGGAGGAGTGTTCTGTACCATGGCAATTATGCCATGAGGTACTGCAGAGTTCTCTCTCTCTCTCTCTTAATCACCCATGCTATTTAACATCTACATGAATTTGCTGGGGGAGGTTACCCGGAGGTATGGGCTGAGGTGCCATCAATACACAGATGACTCTAAGCTCTACTTCTCTTTTTCATCAAATGCAGGTGAGGCAGTGACAACTCTGAATCAGTGTCTGAGCATGGTAATAGATTGGGTGAGGGCTAACAGACTCATTCCAAACAAGATGGAAATACTGTTGGTGAGTGGTTTGTCTTTCCAGCTGGGTGATATTCAATGTGTTCTGGATGGGGTTGCTCTCACCAAAAAGGACAAGGTTTGCAGCTTTGGGGTGCTCCTGGAGCCAGAGTTTTCACTTGAGGCACAGGTGGACCCTGTGGCATGAGCACCTTTTATCAGTTTAAGCTGATATACCAACTACTATCCAAACGGAGTCTAGCTACAATAATCCATGTTCTGGAACCCGTTGTTTAGATTACTGCAATGCGCTGTATGTGGGGCTGCCTTTGCAAATGGTTCAATGACTTCAGCTAATCCAAAATAGAGCAACAAGTTTGTTAATGGGGAGTGGCTTACGAGAACATATTCTGCCAGTCCTCTTCCAGCTGCACTGGCTGCCAATTGAAGTCCAGGCCTGATTCAGAGTGCTAGTATTCACATTCAAAGCTCTAAATGGCTTGGGGCCACGTTATCCAAAGGAATGTATCATCCCATATGTACCCACCTGGACCCTGAGGTCATCTTCAGGGATGCTCCTCCAGGAGTTCCCTCCAAAGGAAGTAAGGAGGGTGGCTACCAGAAGGACATGGAATGAGCTCCTCAAAGAGGTGAGCATGGCTCCTACTCTGTATTGTTTTCCACACTAGGTAAAACCCTTTTTATTTTCCCAGTATTTTAAAAGTTAACTTTTAAACTTTAGTTTTAATATTGCATTTTATCCCGTATCACTGCTATACCTCTGTGCTGAGTCAGATGTAGTGCTGTGGTTTTATTGCCTTATGTTAATTTTTCTCTCTTTCTTGTTTTCTGTATTTTTAACTTTTGTTAACCACTCGGAGAGCCATGGTACTGGGTGATATAAAAATGAAATAAATAAACAAACATTAGCAGGGGACAGTTTAGAAGGCAAAAGGAGTGAGGCAGTGAATGCAAAATATCCCAGCTTATTACTGCTGAGAACTAAGTTTTAGGGCACACATTTGAATTTTTTTAGAATGAAGAAAAACTGCACAAAAACTGAGAAACTACCAAACAATTGGAGGTTGGGAGAAAGGAATGTGGCCAGAAGAATGGGCTGTAGCCATGTGGGGATTTCTGAAGGCCAGAGTGAGACCAGGAGGACTGGATTGGTCCCTTGCATTTGAGGTTCTTCATCCATCCCTGCTCTATGTACAGCAGGAAATATTTTGGTGTTTCTCATACAACATGTGCAAATCAGCCACAAGTAATTGGTTGAAAATCCCTGTAGTATCCATAATACAGAAAACACAGTTCAACTGGCCTGGTAAATGACAAAAATGGCTGTAGGAAAAGCACATGACACAAAATGGTGATTATAATAATGAGCTCACTAAACAGCAAGAGTTTGCTGCCAGTTTTGAAATGACCATCACCATGTATAGAGCCCAAATCTGCTTTCATGGAATGAAATAGGGAACACAGTCAGGGAAAGGCAAGAAACCTTTATTTTCTGTTCAAAAGACAAAGAATTTGAATTGCCTGATTTATTTTTAAGGTAGCAGTTTCTATTTTGCCACAATAAAGAAATCTGGTTACTGTTTTATTTTGAAATAAAATGGATTTGCTTACCTAGAACTGTCACGGTTTATAAGCCTCTTGCACCTGTCATACTCCCTAGATTGCATCCCATGGGAATGCATTTTCTTTCTCCAAAGCAGGTTTTCTACTCAGTAATGAGAAAGGAAGATAACTTAATTGACACATGTAACTTTATTTCAAACTTTGCAGATTATTTTTAATCACTATTATCTTTTCAAAATATTTTATCAAAACAAAGTTACCTTAAATTGGAGAAATTAAGAAAAACAATATTTTTTCTTGAAAGAACTGTTGCGTGGGGGAATGCCAATAAAATGAAAGGTGGGTTAAACACCATGAATTGTATGAAAACCAGATGTGTTTCTACTTCAGTTTGATTACAAATCAGGCAAAGTTTTCAAATAGCTAAACAGCAAAAAGATTGATTTTAGTAATTCATATTTGAAGAATTTGTCCAAATGAAGATTAACAGGTTAAAATGGTGTTTTGTTTTGTTTTTCATCAAGCACAACTGGTTCCAATGGAAGAGGCTGAAATTTTTGCACTTAACTCTGCCAATGGACTCAAAGGGACAAAAAAATACCTGATGTATACTGGACTACAGCCTTCAAAAATGTTTTTTTTTCTTTTAACATAGGCAAAAGTTTACTCTGGATTCTCAGAGAAATCAGCAACACATGCAACTAAGTTTGCCTTTTAATGGAACTGACCTGTGGATTCTGCAACGCTTTGGTTTTGTCCAATTCATGCAGACTCCATGAACTTGTGAACTTTTTTTTTAATAGACTGGGGATGCGGGAGAACGTGAGCAAATGCCAATCACATTGACACAAGTGTAAATTAGGTCTAATTAACATCAGTGCAAGTAGAACAAATTACTTGTACATTCCTTAAAAATCAGATTTTGTCAAGGGGTGGACACTGGAATGGAAAACACCTGATAATGCCTGAGTCCATAAATCCATATATGCCTACTATGGTCTGGATTCAGATTTAGGGTAGAATCTTTTTTTCTTCTTCTTCTGTCAGCATCCCCCTGCATGCCTTCAAAATCTTCCTCTGGATCACTGAGTGATCCTCCAGTGCAGCTTTTCAGAGGGCACAGGGAGCGCTGAGCGAGCAAGTCCACTTGCATGAGTACATTCCCAGGTTATGAGTGCATCAATGAAATTAATGAGACTCTGGTTAGTCAAGACAATGGTTCTGAATGAATTCTAATGAAAAAAAAAGCATTTATTCTATTAAAAAGGTTGTGATCAAACCCTGTGTGTGCTGGTGTGTGTTTTAAATGTTATACTTGAAAAGCACAATCACAAGCCTTATTTTCAATAGTAATCCATTCTTCCTTTGGTCAGTTAAAGAACTGAAGTGCTTCCAGATGAACCCTCAAATTACTCAACAAGAAATTTCACAGGGGTCCAAATGGTGTCCTCTTCCATTTGCAGCCCTCCAAAGTTTTCCAGCGTTTGTCAATCTTTTTCCAGAAAACAGTCGGATAAGAAGAAAAGGATGTGATAATTGGGCAATGCCTTTTGGTGAACATTGCTAGGCATTCACTTTCTAGGAGTGCCCTTGTTGTGACTGCCACACTGCAAGATGTTACTTTTAAAAGAGCAATTCTGCTTTTAATATAACATGGACAGTGCATAGATTTTATAGAAAGATATTTTATACTTCAGGTATAACTATCTGTACCCAGGACTCTGGGATGAATATGCAACACAATAACATAAGCAAAGGCACATTGTCGATCAGCTTTTTGCATTATGTGACCTTTTTATGCTGTTGTTTTGATACAAGGATGGTGGTGCACAAGCAGGACTTTCAATGGTATTAGATGAAGAAGGCAGGAGGCGCTAATTCATTTTACTGTCATTTAAAACTGTATACACACATTGGGATGTACAAAATGACTTTTCTGAAATTAATGTGAACTGGAAGTCCTCCACAAGCATAATGAAGTTCTGAAAAGTTTTAGATTAGGACATTCCTTTCTCTTGAGTATACAATATGATGCATTTTGATTGGCAATGTTGTTAGAAAATAATGAAGCTGAAGCTTTCATTGATTAGACACTAAATTCATTAATCACAGGTTAAAATATGGATTTATTGTACTTCAAGCTTCTTGGGAGCAGGTTGCTTTGTTTTGACTGAACTATGTCTATAACTTAATTGAGGCAATCACCCAAACCAACGATTTCTTCCCATTAGACTTCTAACAACCCATGTCATCTGGCTGGTTTCACTCAATTGTTGGTTCCTTGTGGAGAGGGATCCCAATAACCTTGAGAGTGTCAATAAACATGCGGATGGGTAATCCTGTAGACATTGTTTACACAGATCTCCAAAAGGTTTTTGACAAAGTCCCTTACAAAAGACTCTTGAGCATGGAATTATGGAATAAGAGGGGAGAGTCATTTATGCATCAGATACTGATGGAAGAACAGACATAAGAAAGTAGGAATAAATGTTCAATTGATGTAAAAGAAGGATATAAACAGAGGGATGCCACAATAATTTGTATTAGACTCAATGCTTTTTAATTTGTTCAAAAATGATCTGGAATAGGGAATGGGGAGTGAAGTGGACAAGTTTGATGGTGATGCCAATTATTTATGATGGTTATAAAAAGGGTGGGGGGATTGCAAAGAGATCCAAAAAGAGCCCCGGACTGGAAGAATGGGCATTAAAATGGCAAATGCAGTTCAATATAAGAAAGTGCAAACAATGGAGACTTGGAACAAAAAATTCCAGCTGCAAGTATAAGCTTATGGG